AATAATAAAGAAATTGATGAGAAATCAGCTTGTGGCTTATGGTCCACTGGGAGATGAAGTGAAAACGTAGAATAACTAATAATAATAAGACTTAGAACTAGAAGGCGAATAAAAACAGGAAGAATAAATTTACGAACTGCTTGGTGTTACATATAATGACACACACAATACACATCAGGGGGCAAGGGTATCTCCTTGGCGAAGTTGTCAAGCCGTTTACCCAGTGCTCTGAACGTCGTGGGTTCGTTTTACTGCTGCGTCGTTCAGTTCAGGAGTATAGTTTATAGGAGATCCATCATGATCGTTGTTGGAGCTACGGCGTTTGTGCTTTACATCTCTCTCTCCATCTCGCTCCACCCTCTGTCTGTCTCTCTTTCTACCTCTCTCTCTCTCTCTCTCTCTCTCTCTCTCTCTCTCTCTCTCTCTCTCTCTCTCTGGACAGGCTGTTCTGCAGGGAAGATAGCTAGTCGAATAGAATAAAACCCAGTGCAATGAATTCTATTCTTTAAACTTTTACCGTTTAATTCCGAAAGCACGGCTGTTTTGTGCTAGAATCACTGTGGCTTGTGAAGCATGGGAACACACTGGCATTCATGTTGTGTTGATGGGTTGTGAAGCATGGGAACACACTGGCATTCATGTTGTGTTGATGGCTTGTGAAGCATGGGAACACACTGACATTCATGTTGTGTTAAGGGTTGTGAGGCCTGGTAACGCACTGGCATTCATGTTGTGTTGATGGGTTGTGAAAGTAAACATATGGGGCCACTGGAAGAGAGCAAAGCGTAAAGCACTTTGAAGTTGTGAAATATGTGTCGCTTGAAGTTCATATTCTAAACAGGCTTCTGGGTGTATATATCTTGGAACAACATTCACTTAAGATGGTAAATTGGACTTCTGGGTGTATATTTATTGGAACAACATTCACTTAAGATGGTAAATTGGACTTCTGGGTGTATATATATTGGAACAACATTCACTTAAGATGGTAAATTGGACTTCTGGGTGTATATATCTTGGAACAACATTCACTTAAGATGGTAAATTGGACTTCTGGGTGTATATATCTTGGAACAACATTCACTTAAGATGGTAAATTGGACTTCTGGGTGTATATATATTGGAACAACATTCACTTAAGATGGTAAATTGGACTTCTGGGTGTATATATCTTGGAACAACATTCACTTAAGATGGTAAATTGGACTTCTGGGTGTATATATATATTGGAACAACATTCACTTAAGATGGTAAATTGGACTTCTGGGTGTATATATCTTGGAACAACATTCACTTAAGATGGTAAATTGGACTTCTGGGTGTATATATATATTGGAACAACATTCACTTAAGATGGTAAATTGGACTTCTGGGTGTATAAAAATTGGAACAACATTCACTTAAGATGGTAAATTGGACTTCTGGGTGTATATATATATTGGAACAACATTCACTTAAGATGGTAAATTGGACTTCTGGGTGTATATATATATTGGAACAACATTCACTTAAGATGGTAAATTGGACTTCTGGGTGTATATATATATTGGAACAACATTCACTTAAGATGGTAAATTGGACGAAGAAATTAACATCCGATGCAGGAAAGCAGGCCAAGTATTGGGACAGCTAGCGCCCCTTTTACATACAGCATAACAACTCTTATTTATACGTGGTGCGGTGCAGTGCAGGATTGAACGGGGTGTAAAAAGAGAGAGAGAGAAAGAGAGGGAGTAAGGGAAAGAGAGAGGGGGGAGGGAGGTAGAGAGAGGGAGAAAGAGCGCGCGCGAGAGAGGGAGGGAGGGAGGGAGAGAGAGACCGTTGGCTCCACGACTTTGGAGAGGAAGGACGTGCAAATGTATCTTCTAGTTTGGGTATTGCTAGGCTAGACTTGTTCACTTTAAATACAGTGTTCATATTGCTGGCGGGTGCTGCCGCTGTAACAGGTTTCAAGCGTGAGGGATCCCCAAGGTAACGTGACAGGCCGCAGACGAGAGGTCTGAATAGTTTTCACACAGATGTTCTTTGGCCTGGATGGTCTTTAGCGACAGTGGCCCTAACATATAGGCGTCGTTGGAATGACAGGCACGTTAATCACGAAACTGGATTTGCTCGATCAGGTACTGATTGCCCATAACAACCACTGGACATAGTGTGACAGAAGAAGTCCTTCGGGGTAACGCCCTGCATGTTTACCTGTGTAGGAGGAGGAATTACTGTATTAAGAATATTTCGTGATGTAGTCTGTTCTTATGGTATCTGAATATAGTGTGGACGTTGTCGGTGGACCTGTGTTTGGAGTTATATGTTATTGTAGAGCTGAGTTGTGACCGGTAAGATGTGACATCATTGAGTGACCCCCTTGGCAAGTGTGCGAGGCATCATGCTATCTAGTATTCCTCCAGCGAACTTCGCACGCGTCAGAGGTCATACGAGATCAAGTTGGCACAAAACCAAATTTAAATTACATACAAAAATAGCAAATCAAAAGGTTTGATCCCTTGAAGAGAATGCCTTCTGATTCTATAGAATACAAGGCATTTACCAAACTAGGAGAAGGTAGAGCAAGATGTAGATCACGAACGAGGTGGGGAAAATGACATTCGAAAAACTCTACAGCACTGCGATGTGTCTATGGTTGAAGTAGCCAGAATAGCACGAAGGAGGACCTTATATCTCCCCGGATACCCGAAGCGGTAAAAGAGGACGTCAAAAAGAAAAGTTGTTGTTCATGACAAGCTTGCGGATATGTCACCATGGTCCACCACGGATACTGTGAAATCTGTTGAGCCGAACAGCACGCCGGGTGATCCTGTGGTAGCCGAGTCAGTCGCTTTCAGTCATTCTAAGTGTTTGAACATGTGCACGAATTGTTCAAGTCCCATGGACGCACCGACTTGTGTGGCAGTTTTAGCAATATTTTATTATGTAAACTGCTTGTAAACTGTCTAATGAATATGGTGGATCGTAAGGTGTACTTCGGAATGCTTTCAGTGTGATTTTCTAGAATGGATAGTTGTGTCCCCCCCCCCCCCTTCCCATGTGTGTTGGAGTCGGCAAAGTTGCGATTGTGTGGCCCGCTGGATGACGGGGAGTCTTTAAGTGCTACAGAAGGTGTTGAGGTAATTTTGTGTTGACCAGCATGGAATTGTGATGGCGATGTAACGGGCTGTTTGTCGGAGGAAGGCGGAGTTCATTAGTTCTATTGACTGCAAGGGTTTACTGGAGGTTGATCAGTGTTACTTCAACGAGTGACTGGGTAGCAAGTCTAGCATGTTTATTCACACACCATGATTGCGTCTCATATTCTCTCTCCCTCTCTCTCTCTCTCTCTCTCTTCTCTCTCTCTCCCCCTCTCTCTCTCTCTCTCTCTTTCTCTCTCGATTCTAAAAAAACAGTAGATATTATCTGAGAAATAGACACACACAAAAATATATATCCGCTAACATGGACAATCGTGCCACAGATAAGAGTTGTAGAAGATCAGCGTCACGACTAGTATCCGTGCTGTCCTGGCTGGAGATTACATCTTGTGGGGCACAGAACTAGGGCTTTCTGATCGTGGACTGTGTGAATGTTCACATTTGGTGTTCGATAGATAGTTCGGCAGTTACGCTGGGATACAAACAACAAAAACAGCTCTCGGGAGTGACTGGTCAGTCTTGGAGTCGCCTTGAACTGCATACAGCTCTAGTCTGCTCAACATTTCATCCCAAGGTAAGTTATATCTGATCACATGCTTGAATCTACTGCACATTTAGTTGTCAAGGTAAGATATTTAATTACACAAAATTCAGTTCTACGCAATAACATACGATCTTTGGGCACACATAGCTTTCACCTACACAGTATTTAGTCCACTAATGTGCACGTGTGTTTGTAAATTTAATATTGAATACACCAGGAAAAGATATGGGATCAGGTAGAGTTCAAATCTAGTATTCATTTAGTTCACAATATAAACTCTCTCAGCACACAATGATTTAGTCTGCTGCGCACAAAGTCTGTGTGTCTGCTCCTAGTTTTATGTTTAGTCTATGTGGCATTCAGTTCACAAGATAAAATCATACTGAGCTGCGGGGATACTTCTAATATTTACGTTTTTTTTTTTTTTTAAATTTTATTTTATGTTCATTTGTAGGGGGCTGTGTGGTCTCTAGGCAGTGTGTCCGCCTCGAGTGCTAGCAGTCTAGGTTCAATTCCCGGTAAGGGCTGGGATTTTTTTCACGTGGGCGTGGACCTCTAGTAATTCCCCCTGGTCTCTGGGTAGTGGGATCAGACGCCCTTGTGCATTGTTGCGCACGTAAAAAATTCTTTGACAGTTAAAAATAAAAAAGAGTAGCCTAACGGAGCTGTCCTAGCAAAATCTGGAGTTTAAAATTTACCCAAAGTATTTCTGCAAACCGTCTGGTTCGTGTTGTATATAGTAAAAACCTTCTGGTTTGTGTTCTTTTTAATTCATGTAAACCTTCTAGTTTGTGTTCTATTTAGTATTTTGCAAACCTTCTGGCTTGTGTTCTGTTTAGGAATCCTGCAAACCTTGAAGTTTGCGCTGTATTTTTATTTCCGCGAACCTTCTGTTTGGTTTTCTATTTAGTATTTCTACAAACCTTCTAGTTTGTGTTCTATTTAGTATTTCTGCAAACTTACTAGTTTGTGTTGTATTTAGTATTTTGTTTAAACTTTCTCGTTTGTGTTGTTTTAAGTAATTCTGCAAACCTTCTAGTGTGTCTATTTAATATTTATGCAAACCTTGAAGTTTGTGTTGTGTTTAGTATTCCTGCAAACCTTCTAGTTTGTGTTGTATTTAGTACTTCTGCAAGCCGTCTAGTTTGCACTGTATTTAGTATTCCTGCAAGCCGTCTAGTTTGTGCTGTATTTAGTTTTTCTGCAAGTTGTTTAGTTTGTGCTGTTTTTAGTATTTCTGCAAGCCGTCTAGTTTGTGCTGCGTTTAGTTTTTCTGCAAGCCGTCTAGTTTGTTGTCAATGACGTGTCCCCAGATGATGAAGATACTGTTCTGTCTGCTGCTGGCACAAGTTCACGGCCTTGACCTGGATGCAGAATGGGTCAAGTTTAAAGGAACATTTGGCAAGACATACATGAACAAGGAGGAGGAGATCTACAGGTAATGCCATATCTGAGATGAGCCAAAATATTTTAGGAAATACTCGACTGAACATTCTAGAAAACATGTCAAACATACTCTAGGAAATACTTGCCTGAACATTATAGAAAACAAGTCAAACATACTTTAGGAAATACTTGACTGAACATTCTAGAAAACAAGCCAAACATACTCTAGGAAATACTTGCCTGAACATTATAGAAAACGAGTCAAACATTCTCTAGGAAATACATGGTTCCTTCACCAGCTGCCAGCTCTGAAACTGTCTGCAATCCTTGACTCTCCAGCTGCCAGCTCTGAACCTGTCTGCAATCCTTGACTCTCCGGCTGCCAGCTATGAACCTGTCTGCAATTCTTGACTCTCCAGCTGCCAGCTCTGAACCTGTCTGCAATCCTTGACTCTCCAGCTGCCAGCTCTGAACCTGTCTGCAATCCTTGACTCTCCGGCTGCCAGCTCTGAACCTGTCTGCAATCCTTGACTCTCCAGCTGCCAACTCTGAACCTGTCTGCAATCCTTGACTCTCCAGCTGCCAGCTCTGAACCTGTCTGCAATTCTTGACTCTCCGGCTGCCAGCTCTGAACCTGTCTGCAATCCCTGTCTCTGCTATTCACTTCCTTATTCCCATCTCCGTACACAATGGTCCATGGCATCCTGTTACCTTGAATCCATCTCAATATCCGTATCACTTCTGTCCCGCTTGCACACATACATAAATCTTTAAAATTAGAGGAAGATGCTCAGACATCCCCAAAAATGAAGACTGCTGCTACTTTGTGACATGTGTTCTATATTCCGTCTGTGTTTGAGTCAATTGTATTCTGGCTAATGTTCTTGCTGGCACATTTTCCGTCTCCCCAGAAGATAGTGTTTCATTGTGCTTGTAGAAAGGTGTGGGAGTCACAGGTCATGGCGATCACAGAGCCTCGATGGAACTGTAGAGGCCATGTGTGTTAGCCATTCTGCATGATCCCCCTCGACGGCTTCCATTGTTAACTCCAAAGGAAAAGTAACACCAGTATGTTTGGAACATGATGAAGAAGATGTCAGGCTAGAAGAACAGTAATCTATCCATGTTCTATGTACTGAAATGCGAACCTCCTCATCAAATTTGCTGGTCCCGGTAATCAGTTGTGATTTTCTCATCAAACACGACAGGAGGACAATCTGGACACAAAACCTCAACTACATCCAAGCCCACAACCAAGCCTTCGCCAAGGGACAGTACTCGTTCTACCTGGGAGAAAACCAGTTCGCAGACTTGGTGAGTTCTTTCGTTGTTTAGTTGTAACCTCAGTGTCAATTGTTACATGCGAAACAGTCACCATACATGTTCTTTAAGTTGGTAACAGTGTCAAAGAATGAAACATGAATTTCCTGGCCATCCCAAAAATCTGTGTTTTAAAATGTATCGGGTCATCTTTATCATCATCATCATCATCAGAAGGGTGGTCGATTTAAAACATTTGGGAGCGCTCCCCCCCCCCCTTTTCCCTTCCCTTTTTCAAGCACTTAAAAAAAAGTTCGATTCCCCCCCCCCCCCCCCTCTCTCTTTTTTTCCAGTACTTAGAAGATCCTGGTGCCCCAGCCGTCTTTACAGCATTATAGGTGCATGGGCAAACCAGTGTGTTGAGGCCCCCTATGACAACCACTAACAGGAATAAAATGTAAATGTTGACATACACAGATTAGCATGAGGCCTCTATGTCCGTGAAGCCCTGGCAAGTGCCCAACTGGCCCATATGTTAGGACGGAACTGGTGTCCTCCATATATATGTAATTCAAAACATAAACTTCTTCTTCTCTTCTGCGTTCGACATCAGTCATGCTAAACATTGAGTCCCGTCTGGGTCACAAATCGGATTATGCGTTTAAGGTCGCCACCGGTCCCCCATAGCTTCTCTTTCAATGTGGCTCCCTTGGGCCAAATCCACAATATAAACAATAATAAACCATAAAACGAAATATTATTTAACGAAACTAAACGCTTACAGTCAGAAATAAATTATTGTCTATTTTTGTACTCTTTCACTTTATTTACATTTAAAACGTTTCTTTTCTCCAACTTTTTGCCTAAATTGCAAAGTCTACGATCAGATCATAAGACTAATCTTCTGCAACATTTCTGCTTTCATGTTTAAGAGAGGTAGGGCATCTAGACTAGCGTGTTGTTCTGAAGGGATTTCTAAAATTCAGAAAATAAACTTTCATCTCTAAGGCTATTGAAGATGTCTGTGGTGGGTAATCCAGCCCGGTATACGTTATACCAAGACTGCAATACCTGCGCCTTTCGGCTCAATACCTCTGATTCCCTCAAACTTCTAATCATTCTCCTTTTACGACATGCTTGTTATGAGCTGTGTGTCTAACCCTCCCCCTCCTCCTTCGGGGCCCCTGACCCGCACTCGGGGAAGTCGTCAGTAAACGTAAACTACCTGGTTCCGCCATTGTGACCGCGATTATGCATGTAGCTATTGTTGCATGTAGCTATTGTTGCATGTAGCTATTGTTGCATGCAGCTAATGTTGCATGCAGCTACTGTTGCATGCAGCTACTGTTGCATGCAGCTACTGTTGCATGCAGCTACTGTGAAGCTACTGCATTGCAGCTACTGTTGCATGTACTGCTATTGTTGCATTACTGTTGCATGAAGCTATTGTAGCTATTGTTGCATGCATTGTTGCAGAAGCTACTGTTGCATGCAGCTATTGTTGCATGCAGCTACTGTTGCATGTAGCTACTGTTGCATGTAGCTATTGTTGCATGTAGCTATTGTTGCATGTAGCTATTGTTGCATGCAGCTATTGTTGCATGCAGCTATTGTTGCATGTAGCTATTGTTGCATGCAGCTACTGTTGCATGCAGCTAATGTTGCATGCAGCTACTGTTGCATGCAGCTACTGTTGCATGTAGCTATTGTTGCATGTAGCTATTGTTGCATGTAGCTATTGTTTGCATGTTGTTGCATGAAGCTATTTGCATGTTTGTTGCATGTAGCTATTGTTGCATGTAGCTATTGTTGCATGCAGCTATTGTTGCATGTAGCTATTGTTGCATGCAGCTACTGTTGCATGCAGCTACTGTTGCATGAAGCTATTGTTGCATGAAGCTATTGTTGCATGCAGCTACTGTTGCATGCAGCTACTGTTGCATGAAGCTATTGTTGCATGCAGCTACTGTTGCATGAAGCTATTGTTGCATGAAGCTATTGTTGCATGAAGCTACTGTTGCATGAAGCTACTGTTGCATGCAGCTACTGTTGCATGCAGCTACTGTTGCATGAAGCTATTGTTGCATGACAGCTATTGTTGCATGAAGCTACTGTTGCATGCAGCTACTGTTGCATGAAGCTATTGTTGCATGCAGCTATTGTTGCATGAAGCTACTGTTGCATGAAGCTATTGTTGCATGCAGCTACTGTTGCATGCAGCTACTGTTGCATGCAGCTACTGTTGCATGTAGCTATTGTTGCATGTAGCTATTGTTGCATGTAGCTACTGTTGCATGCAGCTATTGTTGCATGTAGCTATTGTTGCATGCAGCTACTGTTGAATGTAGCTATTGTTGCATGTAACTATTGTTGCATGCGGCTATTGTTGCATCTGGCTATTGTTGCATGCAGCAATTGTTGCGTCTAGCTATTGTTGCATGTAGCTATTTTTGCATTTAGCTATTGTTGCATGTAGCTATTGTTCCATTTAGCTATTGTTGCATGCAGCTATTATTGCATGTAGATATTGTTCCATTTAGCTAATGTTGCATGTAGCTATTGTTTCATGCAGCTACTGTTGCATGCAGGTATTGTTGCATGTACTATTTCGTTACTCCAAGATTCTGTAGACTATCGGCAGTGATGAATTTAGCTATCGCTAAATAAGCTACACTAGTGATTCCGAAACTTTTCTTGGTCGCAGCGCCTTTTTTTATTTAAAAATGTTTCCACGGCGCCCTAACCTAAGTAAAAGTACGACTATTCGTGTCTTGGTTAAATTAATTTTGAAGCTTTTACAATATTTCGCGGCGCGTCCCTGTGAAGAGGTAGCGGCTCCTCGGGCGCAGCGGCGCACAGTTTGTGAATCACTGAGCTACATTAAGGCCTCACAGTATGACGGGCTTCAACAATTCATATTTTGTTCACAAATGTAATTTTTCGTTTAGTATGTTTTAATTTTTAGAGGACTGAATAATCCTAACTTCTGTGATTTTGCATACACATTCATTTTCATTTCTGTTCAAAAGAAAATTAAACCACAATATATTTTCATTATCCATATCTTTGATATTTTTATTATCAAATAAATAGCATCCTTTCTCGAAAGCTGAAATATTTTGGTCATATCAAGCGCAACGACGGATTGGAAAAAAATATAGCAGAAGGCATGGTACCAGGAAGGAGGGGCAGGGGCCCACTGACACGAAGATGGACACAGGATATAAGTGACTCCTTGAGTATGAAAGTACATGAGGCGGAAGAATTTGCGAGAGACCGAGTTTCTTTCAGGCAGACTGTGATGAGAGCGGTGTTCTGCAAAGGACCTGCTACATGATGATGATGACATCTTTGAAAGGAAGTTGCTAGATTCTCGCCCTCCAATCGCAAAGTCGTGGGTTCAGATTCTGACAGAGCCGGACTTTATTTCAAAAATGACCTTAGCTCCGAGGTCGATCCATCCTTCAGTGGGTACCAGGTACAGTCCAGGGAAGTAAAAGCGGCCGGTGTTATGTTGACCACATTACCCCCTAATGCCGATTGGTCTATAAAATACAGACCTAACCCTATATGCACAGTACGGCTGAATGAGTTGAAAAGGGTACTTTATATTTAAAAGGTGTCTATATTTTAGCTGTTTTTTTTAGATTAGGTGGTGTAATTTATATAGGGTCTCGATGGTTTCTATTACACAGGACGTTATCAAGTCTAAATCCGACCCTGGCTATCACACTAGCTGCCTTTATTTCCCAGAACTTTTCCTGGTCCATACTTAGGGCTAGGCCAACAAGGATCCTCGTGTCAACTTTGTTGCTTTAAATATATCCTGGTATTAAAACACGTTATTTTGTTGTTGATTATCACGGACAGAGCAACCAGGAGTTCCAGAAAATTATGAACGGTTACAAGATGCGACAAGGTCCTGGCAGTGTCTACGTGTACGCGGCCAATGACGTCACCGACCTGCCCTCGTCCGTCGACTGGCGGGACAAAGGCTACGTCACCCCTGTCAAAGACCAGGTCCTTGTCTGTGTGTCACTTGACTTGTCTGTCAAGAAGTCAGTCTGTCTGTCAGCTGGCTTGATTGTCTGTGTATATGTCTGACTATCTGTTTGCATGTCTATTTATTAGTCCTTTTGTCAAAAGTGAATTTGTAGACTGGATTTTTTTTTTCAATACAGTTGGATAAACATCTCAAGGTACAGCCATGCAGCACAGTTATGTTGGGGCACCACAAAGCGCCTACTGAGGAACTTGTAGACTGACTGACGTTCAAACCCATCAGGACATCACACCGCGCGATAAACACCCGGGGACACAAAGTGCCACCATTCGGACGAGGATCACCCGGGGACAGGTCCCATAAACCCCGATCAACCCATAGTTTGTTTATATTAGGGTCCCCCAAAACAGCCACGGCGAGGTTTTAAACAACAAAAAATTATGTCCGACAGTGGGAGGCCGTGTTGCAACCTGTGGACTAGTCTAGGTGGGTTTCATATTCAAAGTAGAGGAAATGTTTCCTTGGTTTTTTTTAAGTCTGTCTTTCGATCAGTCTGTCTGTCTCAATGTGTCTGTCGGCATATGGGTTTGTGTGTCTGTATATATGCCTGTTTGCAGGTTGTAACATCAAGCTATAAGTCTTGAGACTTGTTTTACTCAACTGCGACCTTGCACCTCCCCCAATTTTAAAACCAAAATTGAGGTCGGTTGTGTCCCTTACAAACCGCTGCGTTTTCTTATTAGGAATTTCTCTGTACATGTCCTATTATTTCAAAAATATTAGTTCACATTTACGGCATTCAGAACATGATTATTATTACTGCACACTTAAACAAGGCATTTCCCGCCTTGAAATATTATGTACGACTTGTACCTAGACTTAGCAGGTCTCTCTAGACCAGGGATGGGCCAACGCCTTCTCCAGCCTCAGATAGGGGCCTCTATTATCCAGGGCCTCATCAAGTCTAAATCCGACCCTGACTATCACAATGTCTGCCTTTATTTTCTAGAACCTTTCCTGTTGCATATTTAGGTCTGGGTCAACATAGAACCTCCTGTCAACTTTTAATTGACCTTTGCTCCCAGGTCAACCCGAGCTAAATGTTTGCCAGGTAATGGCACACACCAGATGCTGACTGATAAACAGGGCAATGCCTCTAGCATCATACCAGATTCGCCATCGACGTAAAACAACAATAGTTCCTTTGCCTTTTTTTCTTTACACTACAGCTTTTTCATTGCGTAAAAGTTGTTACATTTATTTCACAATACACTGCTTTCTGGTATGAAAGTAAGTTGATTTTTTTTCAAAGTACAGTTGTTTCTGGTAGGCAACATGGTGAAGCGGTCAGACGCTCGTCTGCAGAGATAAAGGTCGTGGGTTCGAATCTGAACGCAGCCAGGCTTTAAGAAAAATGACCTTGGCTCCCAGGTCGACCCAGACTCAAATAGGTACAAGGTAGTCATTGGAAGTAAAGGCGGTCGTCGTAATGCTGACTACATCACCCAAAGAGAGTTGATCGGTCTATTAAATATAGATCTACACCTAAAGGCGTGGAAAGTCCTTTAGTTAACAATTGTTTCCTTGTTTGACAGTTAAGTATATTTATACAGTTACACCCTGATCTGATAAATACATTTGTGTCATCGTAAAATTTCACCCTGATTTGACAACTGCGTTTGTGTCACAGGGCAGCTGTGGGTCGTGCTGGGCATTCTCGACCACGGGGTCGCTGGAAGGTCAGACGTTCAAGAAATATGGCCGGTTGACCTCACTGTCAGAGCAGAACTTGGTGGACTGCTCGCAGAAACAAGGTCAGGTCGTTGGTCTTTCGGTTAGAAAAAAAGATAAAATAAGAAAGTAAGAGAGAAAGAAAGAAAGAAAGAATGTTTTAAATAGCAACAACAACATAAGTAAATACAAACGGAAGAAGAACATAACCAAAAAAGAAAGAATAAAATAAACCGGAATGATTAAGACTGAATGAAAGAAAGAACATAAAACGTGAGGTCTAGACATTATTATAAGAATGTAGAAACTATCCTGTTTCCCCCGGGAAAGGTATGTGTGTGTGGGGGGGGGGGGGGGGAGTAGACCTACTGCCAATTTACAAGCATGTCGTAAAAGGCGACTGCTTCAGGCTTTGCTGAAATCGAATGTGTTGGACTGAACAGATATCGCTGCCTCGCTGTACATATTCCAGCCGAGCTTTTAAAGGAAATCTCGGAAGAAATCTACGACAAAGTTGTAAAACTGTGGAAAGTAAAATTTGTATTTACTTGTAAACAATCATAACTTTGTGAAACTTTCTCAAGCAATATTGTTTACGTCGCCGGGTAAAATTGTGACTGTTTGTAACTTTGTCCACTTCTGGCCTGTATTTTGTTTCAGAAGTTGCGTCCTTTTACAGATTTGTGTAACAACAAAGTAAGTAATCCTTTTTAAACCTTGAGGCGCATTGTACACAGGATGATGGCTGTGTTTTGTTAAAGGTCAGCTGACCACTGATGCTGACAACACCACGCAGTTGTGTGAAACTTTTCATTTGATTGTAACAACAGTTTCGTTAAACTTTACGACTTATTGTACCAAAATCTGTGAAACTGCACGACCTGTTATACTACAATCTGTGTAAAACTTTACGATTGATTGTACCAGAATGTTTGTGAAACCACGTCTGACTGTACCGACATGAACTTGCAGGTAACCAGGGTTGCAATGGCGGTTTGATGGATCAAGGGTTCGCCTACATCAAAGCTAACAACGGTATCGACACTGAAGCTTCATATCCATACGAGGGTGTGGTCAGTAACAATTGTATTAATTTTTTTAAAAATCTCTTCTCTTCTTCTAGTTAAAATTTATATGTTTTATTTGATTATGTACAGAACTTAGCAATTACTACCTTAAGTATCGTAACCCCCCCCCCCCCCCCTAGCAAATTAACCACGCAAAATGAGCTCTTCTATCATTTGGCAACACATTTGAAAAGGTTGTAATTAAATTTATTAATTTGAGAAGCAGTGCCGCGTTTTACCTGGCAGATTTGTGTTAGACCTGATTAGAAATAGACGCTGGTATGCCAGGTAGCGTCGCTTGATCCTCTTGGCAGGACAGGTCGATGGCAAATCTTCACTCTGAGCCCAAGATATGCCAGTGTATCTAAAAATGAGAAAGCTGATACTTTGACTGCTGTTGCGCCTCTTGGCGGAAATCTACGTTGGATGTTGAATTAAGAAAATCCATCACAGCACTGAGGACACTCCCATAAGTGCTCAGTCCCCATCTTTAGCAGCAAGCAAAGAGTTCCAGTTCAGATGGCACCAGTAACCGTCTGATTGTATTTCCGTCTCATCCTTCCCCTAAGTGTTGAGCGTCAACCAAATCCCCTGGTAACTCCTCGCAGCGCCATTCTCCTTAGACGGTAATGATCTGTCTGTGCCTCCGCACTGTTTACGCTCAAAAAATTAGGTTAGTTGCGTATCCTTTACAGGACGTTGCAGAACCAGCCCCAGCAGTCACTGGCTGTTGTGTGGTTTCTCTAGGCAAATTTACTTCCAGTAGTTTGCCATTACATTATGGACGGTCGGCTTCTTGATACCACTGTCAAAACCAACGCAAAGTGCATGGAACGCAGCTGGGATCGAACCTAGCACCCCGGCATTACGAAGCGTTTGCATCAACTTAGCCACAGAGCCGACTTGCTCCCAAAGGGCCCTCAAAATATCTAAGTTGTCATACATCAATTCACCACCAAGTGGTGCAGAGCCAGCCAGTCTGTCTATCTGCTCATTTCCCAAAACACCTGCATAACCTGGAGAAAATATCCAAGGGATGCTAACTACGTTATTGTAAACAGCGCTCTCATTGTGGGTGTTCCAAGGCCCCATTGTAAGGAATACAATAATAGACCCACTGCCTTTCCCAACAAGTGTGACCTAAGAGTCAACTAATTGGGGGCATCCTTCAAAGTCAGAGTGGCAAGGAACCAACAATCTGCATACAAATAAGTCAGATCTGTAAAAATGATGTGCACGCAGCACTCAGGTTCTGGAACAAGAGTAAACTCCAGAAGTGGACAAACAACCAGAATTTTCACTGTATTTTACGGCCAGTGAAGTGAATAAGAAGAACAAGAAGAAAAAGAAGAAGGAAATCTCTGGGATCAAGTACCTGGAGCATAGTAACACTGTTACCATCACGGCATATAATATATGCAGAACATGGAAAACCTGAATATTAAATTATTTCATTAAAAGATCGGAGAGATTTGAACAGAACATTATTTCATTAGAGGATAAGAGATATTTGAAAACTACATTCTTTCCTTTCAAAAAAAAGGGAACACTTTAACACTCTGTTCTTTAATTACAAGATAAAGGACAGACACTGAAAGACCAATTTGACGGAAAAGGGGGCGGAGGGTTCTGGAGGGTGTTCAACACTGAAATGAAAACAGAGCCAAATTTTTATTCAGGTTGCAGCTGGTATTATTAGCATGTTAACTCTTCGATACTTGATGAAGAAGGGGACGAAGCAGGTATGGGAATGTCCCAAGTGCAGTGATGTCATTTCTTGATTCATTCATTCATTCATTACAATTTGTGACAAACTTGAACATTACATTACTTGATGAGAGGACATGAGATGTCTGATCACTACATTACAATCAGTGACAAACATTACATTACTTGATGAGAGGACATGAGATGTCTGAACACTACATTACCAGCTGTGACAAACAAACATTACATTACTTGATGAGAGGACATGAGATGTCTGATCACTACATTACAATCAGTGACAAACAAACATTACATTACTTGATGAGAGGACATGAGATGTCTGATCACTACATTACAATCTGTGACAAACAAACTTTACATTACTTGATGAGAGGACATGAGATGTCAGAACACTACATTACAATCTGTGACAAACTTGAACATTACATTACTTGATGAGAGGACATGAGATGTCTGATCACTACATTACAAGCTGTGACAAACAAACATTACATTACTTGATGAGAGGACATGAGATGTCTGAACACTACATTACAATCTGTGACAAACTTGAACATTACATTACTTGATGAGAGGACATGAGATGTCTGATCACTACATTACAAGCTGTGACAAACAAACATTACATTACTTGATAAGAGGACATGAGATGTCTGAACACTACATTACAAGTTGTGACAAACAAACATTACATTACTTGATGAGAGGACATGAGATGTCTGAACACTACATTACAAGCTGTGACAAACTTGAACATTACATTACTTGATGGGAGGACATGAAATGTCTGAACACTACATTACAAGCTGTGACAAACAAACATTACATTACTTGATGAGAGGACATGAGATGTCTGAACACTACATTACAATCTGTGACAACTTTGAACATTACATTACTTGATGAGAGAACATGAGATGTCTGATCACTACATTACAATCTGTGACAAACAAACATTACATTACTTGATGAGAGGACATGAGATGTCTGAACACTACATTACAATCTGTGACAAACAAACATTACATTACATGAGAAGACATGAGATGTCTGATCACTACATTACAATTTGTGACAAACAAACATTACATTACTTGATGAGAGGACATGAGATGTCTGATCACTACATTACAAGCTGTGACAAACTTGAACATTACATTACTTGATGGGAGGACATGAGATGTCTGATCACTACATTACAATCTGTGACAAACAAACATTACGTTACTTGATGGGAGGACATGAAATGTCTGAACACTACATTACAAGCTGTGACAAACAAACATTACATTACTTGATGAGAGGACATGACATGTCTGATCACTACATTACAATCTGTGACAAACTTGAACATTACATTACTTGATGAGAGGACATGAGATGTCTGATCACTACATTACAAGCTGTGACAAACAAACATTACATTACTTGATGAGAGGACATGAGATGTCTGAACACTACATTACAATCTGTGACAAACAAACATTACATAACTTGATGAGAGGACATGAGATGTCTGAACACTACATTACAAGCTGTGACAAACTTGAACATTACATTACTTGATGAGAGGACATGAGATGTCTGATCACTACATTACAATCTGTGACAAACAAACATTACGTTACTTGATGGGAGGACATGAAATGTCTGAACACTACATTACAAGCTGTGAAAAACAAACATTACATTACTTGATGAGAGGACATGAGATGTCTGATCACTACATTACAATCTGTGACAAACTTGAACATTACATTACTTGATGAGAGGACATGAGATGTCTGATCACTACATTACAAGCTGTGACAAACAAACATTACATTACTTGATGAGAGGACATGAGATGTCTGAACACTACATTACAAGCTGTGACAAACAAACATTACATTACTTGATGAGAGGACATGAGATGTCTAAACACTACATTACAAGCTGTGACAAACTTGAACATTACATTACTTGATGAGAGGACATGAGATGTCTGATCACTACATTACAATCTGTGACAAACCAACATTACATTACTTGATGAGAGGACATGAGATGTCTGATCACTACATTACAATCTGTGACAAACTTGAACATTACATTACTTGATGAGAAGACATGAGATGTCTGATCACTACATTACAAGCTGTGACAAACAAACATTACATTACTTGATGAGAGGACATGAGATGTCTGAACACTACATTACAATCTGTGACAAACATTACATTACATTACTTGATGAGAGGACATGAGATGTCTGAACACTACATTACAAGCTGTGACAAACTTGAACATTACATTACTTGATGAGAGGACATGAGATGTCTGAACACTACATTACAAGCTGTGACAAACAAACATTACATTACTTGATGAGAGGACATGAGATATCTGATCACTACATTACAATCTGTGACAAACTTGAACATTACATTACTTGATGAGAGGACATGAGATGTCTGAACACTACATTACAAGCTGTGACAAACTTAAACATTACATTACTTGATGAGAGGACATGAGATGTCTGATCACTACATTACAATCTGTGACAAACAAACATTACATTACTTGATGAGAGGACATGAGATGTCTGATCACTACATTACAATCTGTGACAAACAAACATTACATTACTTGATGAGAGGACATGAGATGTCTGATCACTACATTACAATCTGTGACAAACTTGAACATTACATTACTTGATGAGAGGACATGAGATGTCTGAACACTACATTACAAGCTGTGACAAACAAACATTACATTACTTGATGAGACCAGATGAGATGTCTGAACACTACATTACAATCTGTGACAAACTTGAACATTACGTTACTTGATGAGAGGACATGAGATGTCTGAACACTACATTACAAGCTGTGACAAACAAACATTACATTACTTGATGGGAGGACATGAAATGTCTGAACACTACATTACAAGCTGTGACAAACAAACATTACATTACTTGATGGGAGGACATGAAATGTCTGAACACTACATTACAAGCTGTGACAAACAAACATTACATTACTTGATGAGAGGACATGAGATGTCTGATCACTACATTACAAGCTGTGACAAACTTGAACATTACGTTACTTGATGAGAGGACATGAGATGTCTGAACACTACATGACTCTATCACAGGATGGCAAGTGCCGATTCACAGCGGCCAATGTTGGAGCCAATGACACTGGGTTTGTGGATGTGGCCTCCAAGGATGAGAACGCCCTCCAGTCAGCGGTTGCCAATATTGGTCCTGTCTCTGTGGCCATCGATGCCAGCCACATCACGTTTCAGGTGAGAGAGCATGGTGCTTACCTAAGGGAGGGACAGTCCCTTTTTCAGCTTTTTCCAATGTGGGTTCTGGAGACCCACTGTGGGTGGGTTGGGGGAATAAAGAATTGACCCACCCCATCCCCCATATCAAGCATGTCGAAAAAGTCGATTAAATTGCGATGTTTCATTCAAAGTTGGAGTGAACCTGCCGGAAAAATAATGAATCAACAGTCTGCATACAAAAAAAAAGCCAGATTTGTAAAATGGATGTGCACGTAAAAGTTAAGTTCTGGAACAAGACCAAAATTCAGAAACGAATGATCAAGCAGAGTTTACGGCCAGTGATTGCAACAACAAAAAAGAAGATACATTTCTCTAGAGATATTATCATCGATATCATGGTCATCATAAATATCACCATCATTAAAATTATTATCTTTATCATTATAATTATTGTCGGCCATAATAAGTATCATTATCATCATTATAATTATAACAATTATTATTATAATAATCATCATAGTCATTATAACTAGTATCATCACTAACAAGTGACCTGCCTACTGGTGTAGGTGACAATGTTTCTTCACAGTTTATCTCCAGCTGCAGATATCAGTTCACGTGCAGACACATTTAAAACGATCACTGGAGTCACGGTGGTGTAGCAGCTAGATGCTCGCCTGCGGATCAGAAGGTCGTAGGTTCCAATCTTGTTGGAGCTGGACTTTTAAAAAAGTTACCTTGGATTCCAGGCGAAGTCATGGGAAATGAAGGCGGCAAGCATAATTCTGACCACATCATCCACCAAGTGACTCTCTGGTCTATAAAATATATGTCTAGCCATATATGTCTAAACAAATGAAATCGTGGAAAAGGCTTCTCTACTTTTTCTTTACCAACAGACCACCAAGAATTTCATTTTGTTGACTTCTTGGATATCTCTTCACACTCGCCATCAGATGTTACAACTTTTATTTTCTCACCAAGATGATACTGCCTGTTAGTGTTGTTTGTGATATATTGTACGGCTCACGTTATCTTTCGCAATTCTAAAGATACACCACTTTAAAAGAAATCTTCAGCATTCTAAAGATATCCGCTATCAGCCATGACAGTTTTCAAATATTTGTGTGTTTTCAGTTCTGGTATTTGATGCTGATCTTGGGGAGTATTTAAATGAGGTCTTGGAATTGCGAGTTTTCTTCTTCTTTCGTTTGCTGGAAATAATCTACATCTACAATGCTGTCTTTAGTTTGAACTTCACTGTCTTGCATGATTCACTTAGCGGCCCTTTAAGTTTGGCTTCAACCAGTGTCTCTCTTGGCCATAATTTTTGCCTGGAAGTGTTGTATTTGGGACAGTCTTGGAGGATGTGATCTGTTGTCTCAGGTGCCAATCCACATGGCTGATTCGCTAATTTTAAATTTTGTGTACATGCAGCTGCGAAGTCAAAAATTGTGAATCTGAAAACAATAGGTCAGATTTTATCGAAGCAAAGAGATAAATTTAAAAATGCTATAAAAGGCCAGAAAAGTAACAGAGCTGGAGAAAATACAAAACTGACAAGCCAAATATTTAGACAGCCCCTCTGGCTCACAAATATCTCATTGTTTTCTTCCAAAAGACTCTGTGTATCACTTAACATTGTGTTTATTTTATGATTACTTCTGTTGTTTTTGTCACTGAAGCTGTACCGCGACAGTTTTTTAACATTCAGTGTTGAATACCACTCAGTGTTGTATCTAGTGACTTGTATTGTTACTTTCACCAAAGCTATACCATTCAGTGTTGTATCTATCACCTTCTATTGTTGCTCTCAACAAAGCTGTACCGTGACAGTGTGTTCTACTCAATGTTGTATTTAATATCTGCTAACTTCTATTGTTATTGTCATCAAAGCTGTACCATGACAATTTGTTCTACTCATTGTTGTATCTAATTTCTGATACTTTCTATTGTTGCTATTACCAAAGCTGTACAAAGGCGGTGTCTATCACAACATCTTGTGCAGCCAGACCAAGCTTGACCACGGGGTGCTGGCTGTAGGTTACGGTACGTACGAAGGCAAGGACTTTTGGCAGGTCAAAAACAGGTAAGCTGACCACTGACCAGTATAGTTTTTTTTACATCATCATCAAATATTATTTCTTTGCAGAATGTTGCTCTTATCACAACCTTTCAGAAAACACTTGGATCTTTTTGTTAATTTCCTTGAGTTATTTACTGGCTTGTTCATGGAGTTTCTAATGTCACATGCCCATCATCTTTGTGACTGTCACCATTGCCAGATAGCGACCCAGAGGAGGATCTACACACCCTCATCCCCCAACACTTTAATTTGGTAACTTGCAGAGGGGGAAGACAAAGAAGGAGGAAGAGGAGGATGAAAAAAGAAGAAGTAGGAGGAGGAGAAGAAGACCCATACCTCCTTTACCAAAAACAATGCCTTGTATTACTGGCCTCTCTCAACTTTCATTATGAGCAAAGAGATCTTTTATTAGTGTTCTTTAAATTTCAGTTTCATGTCTAATCTGTCGATGCTAATAACATAACTGTAATGCTAACAACATAACTGTAATACTAACAACACTACTGTAATACTAACAACATAACTGTAATACTAACAACACAAATGTAATGCTAACAACATAACTGTAATGCTAACAACATAACTGTAATGCTAACAACATAACTGTAATGCTTACAACATAACTGTAATGCTAACAACACAAATGTAATGCTAACAACACAACTTTAATGCTAACAACACAACTTTAATGCTAACAACACAACTTTAATGCTAATAACATAACTGTAATACTAACAACATAGCTGTAATGCTAACAACATAAATGTAATACTAACAACATAGCTGTAATGCTAACAACATAACTGTAATGCTGACAACATAACTGTAATGCTATAAACATAACTGTAATGCTATCAACATAACTGTAATGCTAACAACATAACTGTAATGCTAACAACATAACTGTAATGCAAACAACATATCTGTAATGCTAACAACACAACTGTAATGCTAACAACACAACTTTAATGCTAACAACACAACTGTAATGCTATCAACATAACTTTAATGCTAATAACACAACTTTAATGCTAACAACACAACTTTAATGCTAACAACACAACTTTAATGCTAACAACATAACTGTAATGCTAACAACATAACTGTAATGATAACAACACAACTGTAATGCTGACAACATAACTGTAATGCTAACAACATAACTGTAATGCTAACAACATAACTGTAATGCTAACAACATAACTGTAATGCTAACAACATTATTGTAATGCTAACAACATTACTGTAATGCTAACAACATAACTGTAATGCTACCAGTAAAAACTCCGGGACAAACAGAACCATTATGAGAGTGCTGACTCCAACACGAAAATGAATCAGGATTTGGGAAGGTGGGGGGGGGGGGGGGGGGAGCGGTAGTAATTCATTTTTTTTTAACACACCTTCTTTGTTTTTCTCTTTTTAATTTATTTGTTCAGTGAAGCAAAAAGATCTCATTTTGTTAAATAATGTCTTCATAGAATCTATGATTTTGCACCACTTTTTGGTGAATTGATGTATGACAGGCTAGATGTTGTGAGGGCCCTTTGGGAGTGAGTGAACAGTGCGGAAGCGCAAATAGATCACTATGGTCTGAGGAGAATGGCGCTGCAAGGAGTTACTAGGGAATCTGGCTGAATCCAAAAGGTGTCTTTTTGGGTCGCTATTTCATTGTTTATACATTTCTTTGTGCAATCCTAGAGATGGTTGGGGGGAGGGGGAGGGTGAAGAATGTCATTTTATATATTTGTAACTTGATGTTTTGGACAACTTCTAATGTTTTTTCCTTCTTTTCTGCAGTTGGGGAACCTCCTGGGGAATCAAAGGCTACATCATGATGTCCAGGAACCGAGACAACAATTGTGGCATTGCTACCCAAGCTAGCTACCCAACTGTGTGAGAAGACAACTCTAGAAGACTTTGACAAGCTCTACTAAAGATAAATTTAATCTTTTCCCTGAATTCTGTTTTCCTGATCCCTTTCGTGATTTGGCTTCATAAGTCTTTTATTTGGTACTTGAGATTATTTGTGCGGTTGGTTGCAAGTAAACAGCATTACCAGGAAAATGTGATTATGGACACATAAATAAAAAAATTCTTTCTCTTGAACAAGCTTTTTGTTATGTACAATGTCAGATGGTTGACCTAGTTATCTGATGACAAAGTGAGTTGAGTTTCCTTCACAGGATGTTGCAGAACCAACCCGAGAAATGCATATCTTTAATTTTTTTTTGTTTTTGCTATTGGTTTTCAAGGCAAATTGTAAGTTCTATGTGATGATGTTCATAACAAATATTTAGGTAACTTTCCAGACTCTAGTCTTCCATTGTGCTATAGGCAGTCATAGGAATCACCGGCCGTGGTGATGCGGAGATGACTAGCAAGACCCGCAAGTCTTCCATTGTGCTATAGGCAGACATGGGAATCAACGGCCGTGGAGATGCCGAGATGACTAGCAAGACCCACAAGTCTTCCATTGTGCTGCTATAGGCAGACATAGGAATCACCGGCCGTGGTGATGCGGAGATGACTAGCAAGACCCGCAAGTCTTCCATTGTGCTATAGGTAGTCATAGGAATCACCAGCCGTGGTGATGCCGAGATGACTAGCAAGACCCACAAGTCTTCCATTGTGCTATAGGCAGACATAGGAATCACCGGCCGTGGTGATGCGGAGATGACAAGCAAGACCCGCAAGTCTTCCATTGTGCTATAGGCAGACATAGGAATCACCGGCCGTGGTGATGCGGAGATGACAAGCAAGACCCGCAAGTCTTCCATTGTGCTATAGGCAGACATAGGAATCACCGGCCGTGGTGATGCCGAGATGACTAGCAAGACCCACAAGTCTTCCATTTTGCTATAGGCAGACATAGGAATCACCGGCCGTGGTGATGCGGAGATGACAAGCAAGACCCGCAAGTCTTCTATTGTGCTATAGGCAGACATAGGAATCACCGGCCGTGGTGATGCGGAGATGACTAGCAAGACCCGCAAGTCTTCCACAACTAGAGCTTTGGAGTTCCAGAACATTGTTGTCATTGCATGTAAATTAATGATCCTTTTCAAACACTCAACTCTGAACCTGTCTGCAGTCATGATCTCTTGTTTCCCTATACCCTTCCTGATTCCCCCCTCCATGAAAGCCAGCCCTTGGTATTTATTCTCAGGAATCCACCTCAATATCTGTATCATTCATGCCCCACTTGCACACATCTTTACAGGGCTGTAGAGGCCAACCTCAGTATCTACCCACCTATAATGTACCATCTACTAAGTTTCTCTGAGCCATCTAAGCCTTGTGAAAACTGTTGTGATGGCTGCTCTTTGGAATACTCCAATGTTTGTGATCTTGTCTAGTCACTTATTGGCAAGTCCTTTCTTTTCCTTCCTGTTCACTGGCCGTAAACTCCTGCGGAAAGGATTGGTTGTTCATCCACGTCAGGACTTTTGTTGCAGAACTTGAGTTTTGCATGCACATCTGTTTTACAAATCAGGCTTATTTGTATGCAGACTATTGGTTCCTTGCCTCTCAGCTTCAAAGGATCTACCTTGCTAATAGTGGCATACATTCTTTGTAATCATTGCATGTGAAAGCTTTTTAGCCATTTGTCCTGAAACACGGATACACATCAGATAGAAACAAGATTTAGTTAACATCTCACACTAGCAGCAGACATTTCAGCTTCTCTTCTTAGGGAACACAAGCCTTCAAACAGCTAGCACATATCTTTTCTTCTACTTCTTCTTCGCAGTTATCGCAGCTCAATAAAAAAGGAAGTGAATGAATGAATCAATCAAGAAGTGACATCACTGCACTCAGGACATTCCCACATGTGCTCCGTCCCCTTCTTCAGTGGCCAACGAAGAGCTGGCATGCTAACAGTACCAGTTACAAGCTGATTAACAGTCTGCCTCTGTTTTCCCTTTGAGGATTGCAGAAGCAGACATTGTGTGGTGTGTACTTGGTGTTCATGGAGGTAACAATCTGCCACGTACTGTCCTGCTGTCTCAAGAAACAGGAATTACTAAAATAACAACAAAGATAAATGATATCTGATTATTTTATTAATTTAAATAACATAAATTCTGGATCTGAAAGTTCCATCTTTCTTATTTTCTATGTCTTGTGGGATTGGTAATCACATCTACCTACAGCCTGCTGTCTCATATACTGTCAATCATTTCTAAAACAGAGGACAGCATATGCCAGAGTGTCTCTCATCCACTCTCTTAGTCCCATTCTAACTTCATCCCTGGTAATCCTCCTGCTGTCACAAGGAACCTAATTTTTTTCTCTCAATTCTCTTTCTGAAGTCTGTAATCAGTTCTCTTTTTGAATAAACTGCTTTCTGAAGTCTGTAATCAATTCTCTCTATGAATAAACTGCTTTCTGAAGTCTGTAATTAGTTCTCTTTATGAATAAACAGCTTTCTGAAGTCTGTAATCAGTTCTCTTTATGAATAAACTGCTTTCTGAAGTCTGCAATCAGTTCTCTTTATGAATAAATGGCTTTTAAGACATTTTCACTCTGTCTTTTGTTTGTCCATCAGGGTCTCCTCATGCTTCAAAAGAATTACATAAAACTTCAAATAATTTTCAAGAAAACACAAAAAAACACATAATTTTACATGAAATGTCACTTGCCACACATGCACACACACACGTGTAAATTACACACAAGCGTACACAAATAAATTACACATATACACACAGCAATAATATTTTTCCAAATAAAATAAAATCAGAAATATCATGAAGAATGTAAAGAATATATATTATTTTGTACTTGTTTTTTTTACAAATGTATTATCATAATTACATAAGCATTGTTGCAATGGCAGATGTATTGTCACAATTACACATGTATTGTCACAATTACACATGTATTATCACAACATAAAACCCTAGTAGTTTTACTTGTATCACAACTTACACTAATGACTGATATAACCTGTACCACACTTACATTTCTGACATATATTATTTGTATCACAACTTACAATTTCAACAGATTTACTTGTATCATAACTTACAGTTCTGACAGATATTACTCGTATCACAACTTACAATTTTGACAGATATTACTTGTATCACAACTTACAATTCTGGTTAATATGACAGATCCACAACTGTTTTGGTTATGTTACAATAGTAAGTTTTTTTTAAAGATAGATTCACAAAATATAGATGTAAATCACAAACAGGATAAATTATTGTAAAGTCAGCACATGCAATAATCACATTAAATAATCACACAATCCAGAAATCAAATGAAAACAACTGTGATCTACAAATAATAAAATATATTAAATCTGAATGAGTCAATGATCGACGTCACTGGTCACAACACTGCTGCTGAATGAGTCAATGATTGATGTCACTAATCACAACCCTGCTGCTGAATGAGTCAATGATCGGTGTCACAACCCTGCTGCTGAGTCAGTCAATGATCGATGTCACTAGTCACAACCCTGCTGCTGAATGAGTTAATGATCGATGTCACTAGTCACAACCCTGCTGCTGAATGAGTCAATGATTGATGTCACTAGTCACAACCCTGCTGCTGAATGAGTCAAGATCGGTGTCAAAACCCTGCTGCTGAGTCAGTCAATGATCGATGTCACTAGTCACAACCCTGCTGCTGAATGAGTTAATGATCGATGTCACTAGTCACAACCCTGCTGCTGAATGAGTCAATGATTGATGTCACTAGTCACAACCCTGCTGCTGAGTGAGTCAATAGTCGATGTCACTAGTCACAACACTGCTGCTGAATGAGTCAATGATTGATGTCACTAGTCACAACCCTGCTGCTGAGTGAGTCAATGGTCGATGTCACTAGTCACAACCCTGCTGCTGAGTGAGTCAATAGTCGATGTCACTAGTCACAACACTGCTGCTGAATGGGTCAACGATTGATGTCACTAGTCACAACCCTGCTGCTGAATGAGTCAATGATTGGTGTCACCCGTCACAACCCTGCTGCTGAATGAGTCAATGATCGGTGTCACCCGTCACAACCCTGCTGCTGAGTGAGTCAATGATTGATGTCACTAGTCACAACCCTGCTGCTGAGTGAGTCGATGATCGATGTCACTCGTCACAACCCAGCTGCTGAATGAGTCAATGATCGGTGTCACTAGTCACAACCCTGCTGCTGAGTGAGTCAATGATCGGTGTCACCCGTCACAACCCTGCTGCTGACTGAGTCAATGATCGGTGTCACCTGTCACAACCCTGCTGATGAGTGGAATGGGTCTTTGTGAATAAATTTACATAATTTTATGATCAGTAAAAGAGTCGCACCTTGGAAGAGATTGGGAGCAGGGCTGCTGAAATTAGTAGTTTTGAACAAATCTGGCACTGTCTGACCCTTACTGAGCAAAACTGTACTTCTGGTATCATGTCCGATGTTTTGGTACACTTAATTTTTCTCTCCGCTTTATAATTTTAACAACTTTTTTTAAGAATCGCTCCTCTTCGAAAACGTTACCAAGTTATGCATCAATGAGATCAAAGTGCTCCATAAAATTACTGTAGGTAGGTAGGTACGCTGTACCCACTAGAACATCACACCCACTAGAACATCACACCCATTAGAACATCACACAAGCGATAAACACCCGCTGACACAAAGTGCCACCACGAGGATGAGAATCACCCATGGAAAGACCCTGGAAACACCATTCAGCCATATTTAAGGTTCCGCCAAAAGATGGGGTGGGGCTTTAAATAAACTAAAAATGACATCCCACATGAGGACGAATGATTATAGAACAATAATTTCACCAAACGGAAACTGACACAACCTCTTTGTCACAGCTTGTGTTTAGTGAACTTGTCATCGCAGCTTGTGTTTAGTGAGCTTGTCACAGCTTGTGTTTAGTGAGCTTGTCGC